ATTTAGAATTGTGTGCAAAGGAGAAAAAAGCTTTGCAAATGTTCTTACAGCAAAATGATTTTTATGCTGTGTACTGCCAAAGCACATAAAATCCTTGGCCCCCGTCAGCTGGGTAATATATACCAGGTAACAAAGCTATTCTCTGCCCTGAAGGATTTACAGTTTAAGATAAGGAATAACAGTGGACACAATCAGACTGGGAAAGCACATAAAATATTAGTCAGCCTGAGACTCACTAAGTGCCACACACCTAATGAGCATCATCCAGCACATCTGTGCTTCCACCTGGGAGAGTGCGGGATTTGGAGGGGCAAAGCTGGACATGGAAAACAGCACATGCCCTCGACACTGGGGAAAAGGAGGGAGCCATCGAGAAAAGGTCACTTGAGAAAAATGTTCTAGTCACCGAAAATTGTAAAGGAGTGGGTAAGTTTTATTGTGGGAGCTGTACCCAGCTCGGGTTCAGGTGGAACATATGTGACTATGAAATCAAAAATAGTTATGGGAAGCCTGTTAAGTAAAGGCTGCTGGAAGTGATCTAAGCAGGCTGTTACAGCTCCTCTAAAGCCCCGCGCTGCTTGCCTGCTCCCACATTATTGAGCAAAGCCTTGAGGAATTAACACGGGCTGCGAACGGCTGTAACGTTTCCAGAAGTGGTGACGGTGCTGGCTTGTGCGCTCTGGCTCATTCCCTCCTGTAACCAGTCTCACTAAGGTGAACTGGACGGAGAGAAACCATTACTTCTCTTCTAATTATTTTTTTTTAATTCTTGTTTCTACCAGGCTGAATGCCTGATGCTCTCAAAGTACCAAACACCGTGGTTTCTATGCAAGTCGTAACTTGCAATGCCCCGTGACCCATCCCTTCCCCAGAGAAGCTGCAGCCAGCGATGCTGCGGGAGAGTGGAGCTTGCCCAGCGCTTCCAGGGGTGCAGACCAGAGTGATGCCAAGAGAGCTGGAAAGCAGCTGAGAAACAGCTTAAGGAGATGGGCAGAGGGAACGTGCCAACCACAAAATTAATCTCTGAATTAATAAAAGCCTGCATGGTTTGAGGTTTGTGAAGCAATAAACGAGTTCAAATTTGCCAGAGACTGAAAAAGAAAAGCAATTAGGTGTTAAGGGAAACCTTCTAATGGGGATAAAGTTAATATATTAGAATATGCAATGGATTTAAAAATGAGACGAGGAATTAACCTTTAATTGAAAATGACTAAAGGAGTTTTGATGAAGAACATAGAAATGTATGTATCAAAGAATCTTTCTACTCTTATTACCAGTAGGGCATGACAGAGTAAGAGCTTCTGTTTAATAGCACTAACAACTTCATAGTATTTTTCCTTTGAGTCATACGGTAGACTCTCTTTACCAGTCAATATTTAATCCAAAAAGATCTCTTTGGCTTCTCCTCATCACAGTCATGTTTCTGGGTCTGTACGGTTACATGTTTTGCCTCTGTTTTTCTCTTTCCATCAATATCCAGGCGGAATGGTACCCGTTTCAATCTCCCTGCCTTTGTGTCACGCTGCCGGGGGTGCTGCTGCCAAGTTTGCGCAAGGCTAAAAGCAGTTATGAGCGAAAGCGAGCCCGAGGAGATACTTCAGTGCGATCTGAATGGGAATTGGAGTTCTTCACCAATCTGTTTTTAGATGACTCAAACGCTCACAATTTCAACGTCACCAAAGGAGGCTCTTCTGGTTTTAAAACGAAACAAAATATCCTGCTCAAAAGGGGAGGTATAGGCAACAATAAAGAACTGTATATAAGCGGGCATTTGGCAAGCCGATAGCAATGGGTAGATCAACAGTTTGGAAACAGGGGTAGCGAGTTGGGGAAATACAGTGAATATATATATATATGGCCAATATGATTGATCACCACCCAGTGATGTTTCCTTGAGGTATGAAGAAAATCCTAGCAGTGATTTAGGTTGGATGTTAGATAAAGACAATAACGATTCAGTGGAAAAAAAAAATATCTGAAATTATGTAGTAAATTTTTGTGATCTCTGTTTGGAAAATGGACATAACGATGTCCCCATATTTAACAGAGGTATTTTTGTCTTCCATGGGCAACCAGAGTGAATGAAAATCACTGGTTGATACCAACCTTTAAAACTTGCAGGCAAAAGTATTTTAAGAATTGCCTAAGCAGGTCACCAAACCCCTAGTACTGATTTCTCAGCAAATACTGCATCATCGAATTCCCCCCGAGAATCAGGGGAAGTACGTGCTGAGTCATTGTAAAAAAACCAGTAACTGATGTGTCCCGTGTAAGCAGGAACCGAAGCTGGGCTAGGCTGACACCAACCTGTGCCAAAAGCGGTGAGGAGGGCAATGAAGCACGCAGGCAGCGTAGAATTAAACTGTGACAGTACTAGACTTAACACAGAAAATAGGTGGGTTTAATTTTTTTTTTTCTTTTTTTGAGTCGAGGAAGGTGACCATTCTGATTTGAGTCAGAGCAGCTCAGGATTATGCCCAACCCATGGGTGGCTGGCAAAAGGCGCAGTTTTGTTTCTCCTTTTCTTTTCCTCTCATTTCCCCTAAATTGCGGTCATGTGCCTGCCCGGTGAAACAACAGTTCAGCAGTCCAGCTTACTGGGACAACAGAAAACTATGCTTTTTCTTTTCATTTTATTACTGGCAGAGTTTCCTGTTGGATTCCCAGGCTGGGCTGACCCAGCCCAGAGCTGTGGGGTCACTGGAGCTGGTGCGGGAAGCTGAGAGCGCTGCTGGGGCGGAGGGAGGCTCTGCCAGATGGACGTAGCTGGGGTTGCTTGCGATGAGAGATGATGGTCAACAGCTCCCTTAATCTGCAATGGAAGAAAACTAGAGGGGAAAAAAAAAAAAATACTATGTGAAAATAAATATAGACCCTACTGTGCTTTACAGACCCCCCCAAATGGTTTACAGTGCTCTTCAAACTCTTGAACTGATAGATCTGAAAAACTTAACCTGGTCATCCACCTGAGGGTTTGTTTAGTGAAGCCGCACAGGTGTCCCTTTTTTGGCCTTACAGCATTGATTATATGTTACCTGGAAGTAGTAAAAATAATTTCTGATATAGCGACTGGAGAGATGCATGAGCTGGTGGGACAGGACTTGAGCGGGCCGTCAGGCACGCCACCCTAGCCAGCTTTCTTGGCTGGGCCGACCTGAGCAACGCAAATTTTACAAAATGAAACGGTGGCTTGTAGGCACTGAGGGCAGAGAGTCCCCGCTGCGCACGCCACGGGGAGCAGTGACATGGGACAGGGCTGCCGATGAGGAAGGGAACAGGCGGCGGAGCATTTGGGCGCTGTTACGTTTGCAGAGAAGTGCATGGCGAGCAGAAGGCGGAGGCGGTTGATGGCAGCAGAGGTGGGTTATCCAAAGCGGGTGTACATGGGATGGTGGGATGTGCAAAGGCCCCTTGGCACGCCTGTTGAGGGGCAAGTGACCCACGGGCTTTTTTAAACAGGGTGGATGGGGCTGTGCCCCACACCTGGCCTGGGGTCTGCGAGGGAGCGCCTCGGCGCACGGGGGGGACGCTCATCCCTTACAGGGAGGTTTCCATGAGCCGTTCCCCACCCTCCCTCACCACTACGTAACGCCTGTGGAGGTCACGCTCAGCTCTACAGCAGCCGGCTCCCCCGGGTGCCGCGGCTGACCCCACACCACCATGGTGTGAATGCCTGCTCCTCCAACAGGGGCTGGCTCAGGAGGGCACCTGAGGAGCCGGCCCTGACTCCGCG